TGCCTAAGAACATCCCAGATCTCAAGAGCAGTAGGTAAGAACATGCAATGTTGACTAACCTCAAGAGTCATAGAGTTCCATAGCCACGTCATAATAAGGGAGTCTTCATCATCCCAATTAGCAAATTTTGGATCTATTTTGACAGGAATAGGTCCTTCAAGATGAGCAATCTTACGACGCCCTTTGAGGATCGTAAGAACAAGCTGGGACCATTGTAAATATTTTTCCCCATTAAGACGGTAATTCTGATGGAAAGCAGGAAGATCATTTGGAGAAAGAGAATCCATAGGGCATGTAACAGATGGTTGAATGGTTGGAGTGTCTTCAACGTCTAATATAACGCTTGCTAAAACACAAGACGATCAGAACCATGAAAAACCCACCACCGGAACAGTAACGAAAGGAGAAAAAACATTGTGGGAAAGACGCGATAGAGTCAAAACCACAAGGTAGTCACAGATCCAGACGCGGAAGGAGAGGGCGAGCTTGTCTCTCCAAGTCGCGTGTGAAGATGGTAGCCCATGCGCCGCTACAAAGGTTGGAAGAGCGCGTCTATTTCACGCGCATGAGAGAGCATAAGAAGGAGTCTCGAGGTGGGTTCGGGACAGAAAGGTTCGCCTCATCATGGCAATCACAACTGTGGGTGGATCGTCGGAAAAGAGATCGGAGACAATGGTCAACGGTGGTGTTCAATAATGACGCTTAACGATGACGATGATCAGAACAACAAAGGGTCAAACAGTGGTTCTCTCGGTCCAAAAAGTCCCCAGAAAATTTTACAATAGCGGCGAGAGGCAAAAAATATAGGGGTTCCGTTTTAAAGGCGGCAGTTGCGGAAACAGAGCCTTCTGAATCGAGAACTCTAATACTAAATTAGAAAGAAGGATTTATATAATATTGAATTGTATATAACTATACAAAAATTCTCTATTTAAAGAGACTAAAAAACCTAATGGGCTAAGCCTAAAGAAACTTTTAGAGTAATCTAACTAATATAGATAATAATCAAATAAATAATTCTAATATTTACAATATAATGATATCTAGTTTTTCTTTATTGATTTTTTCTTTAGTGTACTAGTTGTTGTGACTTTGGCAAGTGCACTAGTCATGCACATAATAAAAAGTGAGTAAAATATCATTTCCACAAGGATTGATAATTCTAAGCACTAATTTATTATTTTGACTTGATATGTATGGAATCAATTAAAATGAGGTAAATTGTAGATAGTGAATTATAATTAAAAGAACAACAAATAAAAGTAATAACAACACTAAAATAACAAATAAAACAACGAACAAAATATAAAGAGTTCTTAATAACTATTTCAATTTTTCTTAATTTTCACTTGATTTGAGAGTTATCCTTATTCCTTTCTTTTGTGAGTTGTGACTATAGACAATTGAGTTCATCTTGATTAGTGAACATTCAATTCTTTGATGCTTGACCCTTTATCATAAAATAAGAGACTTAATTCCTTAATACTGCTAAAATTGGATTAAGCATTGAGATCTATTAATTTCCAAAAGATTGCACTTCGTAATGTCCATCCCTTAATCATTAGAAAATATGACAATTGTATTCATATGCAGTTCATATACCGATTCCACATTACATATATATAAACATAAAATGAATGCATGGTGATCTAGTCATGAAAGCAATAAGCTCAGAAATAATTACCTCGTAAAAGAAGAGATATTAAATTAAAACGTACATCATAGTTGTATCAAGATCCAATCCTAACACATTGGGATTTAGAAACTCATAATAAAAAGGAATGGCAAAGAAAAGAATATAAGTCTCCAATGTTAATAAAAGGAAAGACAGAGAATGGATTAAGGCAATATGACATTTTAGATGGCCAGTTAACAGTAGTCAGCAACTTATTCATAACGTTGTATGGAATACTAAGTAAAAAATGTTTATAGACATTTTGTTGGCTATGTTAACATGGAAACATGAGAATGGATTACATTCTCTTATAGTATGGAAACTAATTTAAATAGGTCAAACATAAAAACTAGACGAAATACTACATTGAAACAAATAAAGCCGAAATCCAATACTTTAAGGATCGAATATCATGTTTATTCTGAGCTGACTGATTTTGTATAAATACAAAAACTTTCGATATGACTGATGAAGAGTTTGTATGACACAAATAAAAGAATTTGACTTCCCAGTTAGTTGTGAACTTATTACCACAGTAAATCAAAATGAAATCCTTAAAGAATACAAGAACTTGTTATGCAACGAGCTCTCTCTGGTGGACTCAGAATTGTATTTCAAATTAGCAATCCTCAAATTTAACATAACAAAACAATGCAATTTTTATTTTATCATTCATAGTAAGTTGAATCTTCAGAAAATTAAGCCATAGATACTATATTTAGTGAATTATTTATAAGAACCCTTTCAAATGTGTAACATATTTTCAATACCAAGGTACATAATTGGTTAAGCCAAATGAAACTTAAGAAACTTTAAATTGCAACCCTCCTCCTTTGTCCGGGCTGGGGACCGGCTGTGTTATTTTATATATAGGCATTAGACACAGGCGGAGTTAATTGCCAAAATCACATGGGCTTCTTCATGCGCATAAGCATTGCCAGTCTTTGGGAAGAGGGAAGTTGAAGGACCAACCACTTGACGTTAATGGGCATGCCCCCATTTTAGAGCATTGTAATTGCAAATCAATGAAGCAACTCATCCTTCTACTTCTTACTTCTGTTACAAACCACCACTACATTATTCACTTTTGAGTTAGTCTGATGTTTTCATCATCCCACAAGACCAACATATACAGCCATGCTCTAGGACGAGTTTTCATACAAGACCGAACTATTGTGCACATATGCTTCTACTTTTTTTCTTAAGCTTGAAAAAGTTTAGGTTGATGAGACACTCTTATCATTTCAAGGCTCATGACAAACCACTAATCTCAATGAGATTTATATTGAAATTACAGCAGCTCTCATGAGGGGAAAGGTCTACTAAGTTAGCCAATCTCATGCGTTAGCCCTTATCTAAGTAGTTGTTGACGTATACACTAGGCATAAAACAAAAGCATATGTATATCTTACATAAAACAAAATATAGTTGGATCACATCTGAATTTTTAAAATAACTGATTTTGGTATATCTTACAAACAAATTCATATGTAAATCTAATTGTACAAAAGAATGTGGTCTGCTGTATTCCTAACTATACATGCATCACACCACACACTCCCATTCACGAACTTCTCTTTTTTAAGAAAACTCCACGCGAACGAAGTTGTTAATACGTGAATTCATTTCTACACTTGTTTTCCTCGCTAAAATAATGAGGGTTTTAAGAAGTTTGTGAAGTATTTTTTGTTAAATTATCTTTTTTTTAATGCTAAAGAAAACAAGAAAATGGAGTAATGTTAAATTATTGTTCTTTTTTCACATTCAATTATCATTCTTTTTTTGTTCAATTTATAATGAGTCCGTTGCAGTAAGTTTGCAAGCATATCAATTACCGAGGAGAATAAAGCATCATAAGGAGCCAATCCAACAAAATAAAGCGCAAGTCACTGCTCCTTTCCCCTTCCGAACATTTCGTGCATTCCAAATTGGAATGGTATCTGGCCAGCTATTCACATATTCACATTTGAAAATACTTTTTCACTTTTTATATCCGGAGGGGTCGAGGGCAGTGTTATAATAATTGACCCGACCCAATCAATTCGATTGGTTGACCCGTAATCCAGACCCCCAACTAGTCTGGTTTAATTATTGGACCGGTTATATATTTGACTTGGTATGAAACCGATGAATTGGTCCTAAACCGGATTCAACCAGTATTAAACTGGCACCAGTTTTCTAAAAATTGGATTTGTGGAATTTTTGACAAAATGCATGAAAAATATCACTAATGAGATTCGAATTTAAACCATGTAAATTATAAATTATAGCACTTACTACTAATCCAACTCTATTTATTGGCTAAAATGCTTCTAATTTTATATTTATTATATTTTATTATATATATATATTTAATTCATGCGGTTGAACCAATAATTCATTGGTTGAACCGATGATCCATTGACTCAATATTTCGAATGAGTTAATGACTGATTCGAGTTTAATAACACTGGTTGAAATAATTGGGGATCATTATAGAACAAATTAAAAAAAAAAAAAAAAAAACTCATAACAAGGGACAGAAAGAGAAACATACCAGTAGGCACAATCCAACTCAGCAAACTACTACAGTTTTCCTACTTGAGCTACTCCTGCAACCACATGAATTAAAAGGAGGGAAGCCAAATAAATAAAAGGGTAAGGCAACCAATCATAGCACAAATTCTACGCACTTGAAAGATACATCCCTACAAAAATTTTCCACAAGAGGCTTCTCTCACGAATAAATAATGCACATACACGTATTGAGAACTAGGAATACACCAGATTAATGACATACACATCTTGTCACCATGTTAGAGCACAAAGGAATCTTTAAATTCCAAGCAGTCACTAACCATAATTTCTTGTTTTTAGAGTACTTATTATAGAGTGATAAATATAAAACACTTATCTAATTTTTCTTCTTTCCATATTAGTATATATTTCACCGCATGACTCGTACCATAGCAGATTTTTGAAAAGCAATTACAAAACCCTTCCCTTCAAATCATATCAATTTCCCAATTTTGGGCCATGACTAAAATTTTAATTGAACTTCCCCCGTTTTCTTGTTGATGAATGTGAGAAGCGACACCAAGCATAAGTAACAAACTTTAAAGCATAGTTTTACAGACCCAAAAAAACAAATCCAGATATGCTTAACATAGAGTAATTTCACTAAAGGTAAAAGAAGCCTTGAATTTTATCATGCAGCTCAAGAAACACCAACACATGAATATGTAATATTTCACTGTTAGAAAGGGTTTATATCGAAACAATTTTACAATCGACTTGCCAGAAGGAATTTCAATACCATTATTATACATCAAATAGTTGCCGGTTATTCAGCCGCAGATACTAACACAATTCCATCGAATCTTTGTGACACAAACAAGGAGGATGTGACCAAAAATAAAATAAAATAAAAAAATTGGAGTATTAGGGAGGGGGAAGAGGGGATTTGAGGTTTGCACTATTGCGATTTTCAGTAGCATGCACTAATGTTTCCAAAGCTTTTTACTAATTAAAAAATTAGGTATCTTTTGTACCAAATCATTCCTTCACTAGATCATATGAACATGGAAACAATTATTTACAGCTGCTAAGAGGAGAAACTCAACTGCCACAAAAAGTCTACAAGAATGTCGAGTTAGTTATTTCATCACCGAACAAGTAGGCAACCCAAATTGTATCCCAATCATCAATAGTATTCAGTTCAGCCTATCATTAATGATGCTGATCCATAACCTGAAACACCATAATACTTAAATCAATACCCAGAACTCATGTAACAGATGGCATGTCTTTGTTTTATTTCCATTACTATTATCATCAACACATCAAGAAGTACTTATCAAAAAAGGCTCGAGAGCTATATCACAAATATAACTGATATTTCTAATCACAAATGTAACTCTGCATTTCTTATTTTTGTTTCTCACAGACAATATTCAGTGTAACAAACTGGTTTAGTTAAAAGCAAACCAACAATAAAGTAAATCATACATCTAAACTTCGAGACAAAAAATATGATAGGCTCAATTGATCATTTGATCATATGCATATAGTCTACATAGAAAAGTTAAAGTCACAAAAACAGCCAACACATAAGTATACATGATGACTGGAGCCAGAGCTAAATCATACACATCAATCATCCATAAAAAATGGTAGCTGCATACCCTTATAATGGTGCAACAGCAGTTGTGGCCATGTGACATGCTAGCCCCACTACCACCAGAAAAAATACAACGCATGCTAAGATAGACTTTCTGAATTATGCCAAGGAAACTTGTATTCATTGGTGGTTGGAACTAGATTAGTTCACACAAGCATTTAACATTATTAGATTTAAAGCACAAAAAAGTATTGTACACAGACATTTTTCAAAAAAGATAACAAGAAGAAGAGATCTCCATGTAGTTGGGCAAATCCAGGGAATGCAATAAGTCATAATTAAAACACAATGCAAGTTGGAAATATTATGGTGCATGCTGGAGATATCAAGCAGACACCAAATGAAAATAAGACAACACATGTATTATTAGGTAAACACATCAAGTCTTTACACAGGAAACTGAATCTATACAATACAACTATTCACCCATATTTTTCTTTGGCAATCGCCTCTAGTTATCTAAGGGTACACACATCTGGTCCATATCAAGTAACATAAAAATAATATAACACGATCATAATTAAAAAAAAAAAAAAAACAAAGTAATAATAATAACCCAATTAATACCAGATTACATGAAGAAAGTTGAAACGTACAAGGTATGATCATAAGCAAGTACTCTTGCAACTCATCCAATTTGAAGTCAGGTGAAATATAAAACAGAGTCTTCAAATCTTCAAAGTGCAACATCCAACTATTTAGGGAGCATAATCCTGCAACGAAGACAGCTGCAATAAGATTACAAAGCATACTAAATATGTTCCAAACAAAGCAGAATAATTCTTTCTGACCAATTACAACTACCAAACATTAACAATTAAGGTACGCTCATTTATGGGGCCTTGCCCCTTTATTGTACCCAAAAAAAAAAGGTATGCTCATTTCCAAAACATTCATTTCCTTATGTTAGTGAAAATCCACAAGTTAGTCTACACAACGGAGACTGAATTGTATAGGTGAAAAACAATAATCACAAAGATACTAGAAACCCTAATTACTGTAAATACATGATATGGTTAGCCTATACAATCAATCTAGACATTACTAATACAATGAATCTAGATGCTATTTACTTACAATACCAACACTCCCCCTCAAGCTGGAGCATATAAGTTATATGTACCAAGCTTCTTACATATATAACTTAACTAAGGGCTTCTTAAAGCCTAAGTGAAGATATTTGTCCATTGATCATTTGAGTGGACAAAACAGGAGTTGATGTCTCTAGATAATATTTTCTCACAACTGAAGTGACAATCGATCTCAATATGATTTATCCTCTTGTAAACCATTGGATTGGAGGAAGTGTGCAACGCAGTCTGATTCTCACAAACAAGTCTCGTATATATTACCTCTCCAAACTGGAGCTCTTTGAGGAAACTGCTTAAGCCAAATGAGTTCACAAGTGCCAGAGACCATGGAATGACACACTGGTTTGGCACTTGATCTTGCGATCACATTTTGCTTCTCTTTCCAAGAAATTAAATGATCCCTAAGGAATATACAATATCCCAAGTGCATCATCTATTAGTCGAGTAGACTACCAAATCAGCACCTAAGTATCCAACATTTTGAAAGTGACCTTTATCTTCATAGACAAGGCCTTTTCATGAAGCAACTTTGACACATTTTGAGATACAAGAGATATCTGGACAAGTAACTATGAGATAGTACAATTTCAAAACTAACATATATCTTCCGGGATATAAAATTAGCTCCCCCTGATTTGATAGGAGTTAGGTGTTTGGATCCATAAAAGTGTCAACTGACTTGGCATTCAATAGACAGGTTTGCTCAAGAATTTCCATAGAGCAGAGGGATGCATAGTCAAGGAAAGGCTGCCGAAAAGATCCGCGCCAGGGAAGGTAGGTTGCCGATATGAAGCGTAGCATGGGGAAGACGGTCATTGCACAATGGGCACAACATAATGAGGGTTTTGCTAAAGAAGAGGCTCCAAGGTCAAGAGCTTTGGTACCATGTCCACTTTGGGGAAATTTGATTCCTTGGAAAAGAAAGAAACAAATGGTGGTAGCTAAATCAAGCACAGAAACTGAGTATCAAGCAATGGGAACTGCAACCTATGAACTTATCTGGTTTGAGCAACTGATCAAAGGACCAAGTCTGTGAGCAACAACCATTGTTGTTAAAATAGCACCGAACATCGTAGGATTGACTGATCCTACATTTTTTTGCCTGATAGCAATCCATAACACATAGTGGATCGAAATCCGTTCAACTCGCGTGTGTTCAATGATGAAAAGCGTAAAATCGATGGGATCTTCGATCCCACCATTTCGGACCATTTGCGAAAATACCCAGAGAAAGGTGTGTGAGAGAAAGAAAGAGAAAAGGGCAGAGCCGGAGGATATTGTCAGAGACCAGATCAATGAAGAGGAACTCCAAGCGAACTTATGCCATTGAAGAGAGAGATAGAAAGTTTATTATGTTATCCTTCATTCCTTTGCACTTTAATTTTATATTATTTACATTTATATTGACTTCTCTTTTTTCATTTTTTTTCTTTTATTTGAATTAACAGATTAAATTTTTTATGTTTCTAAATTTAATAGTGATTTAAATATTTTTTTATTTTTTATATATATATAAGTATATATATATATATTAAATATAACTTTATATTGTAAGTAAGATTTAATTATTAGATAAATGAATTATTATTAAGATCTTAAGTTAATTGATTTGATAATAACTTGGAGTTGTCTTTCATATTTGAACTTTTTGTTGTTTATTATATTTGCTATCTTTTTATGTTTGAAGTTGCAATTTAAATGGTATTTCATATACACAAATATTATTTTTTATAACTAAAATTAAAAATATAAGATCTGATGATCCATGTCGATCTCACGATTTACAATTTTCTCACCCCCTTCCAATCTTAGGTAAGATCTCGAGTTAGACAACCTTGGCAACAGCCAATGAAGTGCACATATCTTCTAATCCAATCTTTCATGAAAGAACAAAATATACTGAAATTGAGTGCCACTTTGTCCGCAAAAACATGCAGTATTGGGAGATGGAAACAACATTTGTAAACTCGTAAGATAACATGCAAATATTTTCACCTAGACTCTTAGAGATCTTTGGGTTGACTATATCTATAGCAAGCTTGGCATATACGATATACGATAACATTTGTAGGCTATTAGTTTATTTGTACCACAGTGTAAATAGAGCCCAGTCCTATGTATCTCATTATTATAAACATAATCCTTGCGTGGTCATGAGACAGTTTCTCAGGTTCAAATCAATTAATCTTATTAGAGAATAATATAAACCATTAAAAAAGCCCTCACCCAACACCTTAAGGTCTTGGGTTGAAGTGGTTCTTTACATGGTATTAGAGCTTCAGTGATAAGGTCACGAGTTCGATCCTCACCGCCCCCCACTTTCGAGTGGAATTAAAATAAGCACGAGGTAAATCAAAAAAAATTGGGCCTGTGCGATATCCACATTTCAAGCTCAAAGGGCACTTGTGTGAGGGGATGTATTAGAGAATAATATAAACCATTAAAAAGGTCCTCACTTAACACCTTAAGATTTTGGGTTGAATTGGTTCTTAACAAATCTAGACATTATTTACACTACCAACATGTTTAATAAATTGAAGCCATATTCAGAAGTTTAGAGAGTTGAATGCACATCATTGAACAAAAACCCTATACAAAAAAGTTACAAAACGAGGGCATGTAAAGAGACAAGAGGAGAAAGACTTCATAAATGAAATGATTAACTATCTAAAAAGTGAAGAGGATCAACATTTGCACCTAAGAAAGATAAGCATGACATGCAATGAGGTTTAAACAGAAGCACATAATGAAATGAACAATTGGGATGCCATAACTAAATACTAATGTTTTGGACAAGAGTGCATACCACGGCAAAATAATTTTCCACCCAATAAGTTAACAAGTAACCTTGAAATGAACAACCTACAAAAACATTGAACAAATTAGAGTGAAGTTGCAAATAACAAAATTCAACTTCGGCGGTAAGTGCATACCAGGATTAGAGACTCAATCATTGCCTAATTCAATGATCTACGACACCTGCATAATAAGTACGCAAAAGTTATTATGTGTGTAATGTATATCTCCACCATTAGCAAGAAGAACAAAAAGGTGATTTTTCACCCTCATTTTTGTCCTGAAAGTTCTGAAAGAATACTCATCCAATTCAAAAGTCAGTCAAATAAACTAATAGATTAGGGTTATAAAAAACAAAAAAGTCTTGTCCCACTACGTAGGCTTGGCTACATGGATTAAATAATGCAATTGTGTTTTATTAAAAACAAAATTTTCAGAAAATCCATTCAAATCATGATCTTCATTAATGGTTTCTCCTAAAGTTGTTTTCAATCTTCCTTCACCACTTTTGGTCATACTATCTTTCATTTGATCTATTAGATCCATTTCATTCATTGCACCCATTTTTTTCTCGCTGGAGTTTCTATTCGTCTTTCCTTCACTTGACCAAATCACCTTCAGCAAGTTTTAGTCATTTTCTCATCAATAGGTGCTACTTCAACTTTCACCACCAAAATACATTTGCTACTGACCTTATCATTTCTAATATATCCATTCACCACCACAACACTCATCCGCTACACTTTTTTCTTGTAGGCACTTTACTGCTGGACATTTACTACAACAAAACATTGCCGGCCTTGTATTTAAAACCACTCATTAAACATGGACTAGCAAGGGTAAGATGAGGGCAATCCTTATACACATCATTTCCCTTCATATTTGCAAAAAAGTTATTTCTCGAATTACTTGCCTTCTAGTTGTTCACTACAATTTTTATTTTGTCTAATAGATAACTTGTAATCACACATTACACCTAAACATTTCTTCATTGCACTAGCCCAGCTTGAATTCTTTGTGTTACATCCTCTCAATCTCCTCATTTACTCTCTAAGATAGACCCAAGATACCCAAAACCATGCAACTTGTGGTATGACCCAGTCCTCAATTCTCACCTTGAAAACATTGCTACCTCGTGATACGAACCTTAGAAGAGCCTCACCCCAAAAGCTAGCCTATAAGGTAAGAGAGCACAAAGTCCATATAAATCCCACACCAGAACCTTATATTTCCGATGTGGGACTCCAAGTCGCATGCCTTGCAACTAGATAATATCCCACCACGCTCTGCATCCCTAGCACCCATGCGGTCTAGCTTTGCGCTAGTCTTTTACTAGCACTGGGCGGACACTGCAATGTCAGTATCACCAACTGCGCCGCTCGATTGCAACTAGGAAACATAATAGAAGGCTCAGACACCAATGGATACGAACCTTGAGAGAACCTCATCCCAAAAGCTAGTTTGTAAGGAAGGAGAGCCCAAAGTCCATATAAACCCTACACCAAAATCTTATCTTTCCAATGTGAGACTCCAAATCCCATGCCTTGAACTGCATAAGTTGTTTTCCATATGCTTCATCCTACTAATATTTCTACGTAGCAGACAAAACTTTGTTTCTCCTCACAACTCAATTTTACAGCTTACTTCTCTTGACTCATAAACTACAATTATATCATAAGAAAAAAAGCTTTACAAATAACCCCAAATAACCCCAAGGAATGGCACAGTTGGTAAACGGATTGTTCCCAAGGAAGGGTTATTGTAACTGAAAGGTCACTGGTTCAATTTCTAGACGAAGCACCTTGGCGCCAGTGGTAAAATTATTTATGCTCCACGCCACAGAGAGGACTATTCTCATCCAAATGGGTGGGAGACACCTTTGGAAAACCAAAAAAAAAACAAAAAACGTGCATTGAGGTACTAGCTCTTGGATGTGCCAAAAAGTATGTCCAATACAAGTAAAACTTTGAAAGGTATGGACTCGAGTCAAACATAGATACAAACCTATACTTAGCTTGTTTGGGGGAAAATAATTATTTTTACAGCTTCCTAAGAAACCTTAGGTATGTATAAATGTTTACCCAACAAGTTCAAGCACCAGTGCAGCAACCATTTAGTAGTACACAATACACATGCATCATAGAATATGTTACTGATGTTAATATAAAATCATAATGTGTCTTCATCTAACACTTCCAACTTTTGGAATAGTTTGTTTCATGGCATGATATCAGAACCTCTATGACCTCTAAAATTCAATCCTTGCCACCTCCATTCTTCTAATAAAAAGTAAAATTTCAAAACAATAGGTGGGCATGTGCTTAGTCCATTCTTCAAGCCAAAGAACTCTTGTGTAAAAGAGCGTGTTAAAGATGTTAACATAAAACCATTCATGTGTCATCATAATAACTTAATCTTTTGGGATAATTAGTTCATGAAACTAAACATAGTACTTTATAATTAAATTAATGCAATTCAAATATCTAGCAATGAAGCCAAGAAAACCATAGGCCTAAAGATATGGTAAAAAATTGAGGTGTCATAATCTTACTTTTTGGAACCACAGTTGCAGGGAATCTTTTTCTCCTCCAAGGGGAACTTATAATCGTATGTAATTTCCTCACCAGCAGCTATATGCCGTTTTGCATATATGAAAATCTTCTTTTGACCCTCCACGGATATAACCTTTGTATAGCAGTTAGGCTGCCAAAAATTCAGTTCAAATTTGGAAGAACGTGAAATCAAGATTAGAAGTAACACAAGCATACACCCCAAACACTTCTTTAAATGCATGGATATAAAAAACACATGCATGTAGAAATATAATAATACTAGACAAGTACCTCACAAGAATGGTTAATAAATCTTGCAATCCCACCTCTCTTTGTAGCATCAACCTACACATACTCAAACACGAAAAGCAAACCTATCATTTCAATATTTATCACTAAATTTGAATTTATCAACATCTGCTTATATTGAGAATATTAATTAGCACACATGCAAAACAACACATAACTTATGCTACATTTAGTTAAGATTTTGTAGATTAGGTCTTATTTTAGCTTATCTAGTATAATAACCAATCATATGACAAGTTATCATGTGTTAGGATTACCTTTTAAAAGGAGCTTACATGAGCCAAATAAGCCATTCAAGCAATAACTTGGAACTTTAGTTCTCAATATCAATTGGTGATAATGTTTTGATTAATCACCCCACCATCAGATTAAGAAAGACACAACTACCTGTTTAGCTAACTATCACGCTGACCCATTCATAAAAAAGTATTGAATTCAAATCCTAGTTGCACAAAGTGTCAATCACATTCTAAGTCTAACATCCAATATTTTAGTTACAAGCCCACACATCAACCTTCTAATGTCTAACCATGCTAGACAAGCGATCAGGTCTGCATGAATCCTCATCAACTTTTAAAACCCCAAAATTTCAAAACTCAAGACAATCCAGAAAGTAGGTTAACTCTGACTACACTTTGGTCCTTAAACTTCATTATGTTTCAATTGCAGAAAACTGAAAGTGACAATATCACTCAATACCAAGATAGGGAAAATTAAATATCTGAGTCATCTGACACAATGACTCCATAATTACCTTAGAGAAGCAAGATATATGAAACTTCCAAAATCTAAAATGTAAAAAAATACCACACAGCGTACTAACCACATATCCATCATCAAGTCTAAAAAGGTAACTGCTTCCAATTCCCATCTTCTCATATTGACGCTCACGTATATCAGATATCTGTGACAAACAAATTCATATCAGTTAATTGATCCAATGAAAAAGCAAATGCATTAAAAATGATATTGAACAGGGTTGTTAAATCAGGAATCAAATCACGAAGACCTATTAAGATTTAAGATTCAAGATCAATTATTAAAAATAATACAAAATATAATTTCACATATTAAACTACAAAAATAAGTACAGAAATAAACAATTTCCTTATTTCATTTTCTATGCACATTAAATTCCTTAATTTTTATGTGCATTAATTATGCTCTTCTCTCTCCAATTTTAAAAATCTAGCAAGAAAAACCCTTTTTTTTTTAATTTTGGACCCCTCTTCTATATCTCTCATGTGCCACTTTCCATCTCAAATGCATAAACCTTTGGCCCTTTTCACCTCCCACCAACCCCACCACCACTCTCATCACCAGTGCCAGACCGTATGACCACGGAGGCTGCCTTTGCTGGAATAGCAATGCGCCCTCGTGCCCCAATCAATAGTTTGCAGCATCTTTCCATCTGGGCTGCAAGTGTTGGCGTCAATGTTGTTAAAACGTAGTGTCGAACCGGATGAAACGTACGATTCTACGTTTTTTGACTAAAAAACGTGTTGAAACGGATGCTGAAACGGAAAATGAGTTGAAACGGTTGAAACGGCGGGTCAACTCGGTTGAAACGGCGGGTCAACTCGGTTGACTCGGCGAGTTTACCGAGTTGACTCAGTTTAAAAAAAGAAAAAAAAGAAATGGAGGATACCGGCAAACTCGCTCTCTTCTCTCTTCTTTCTCGGCCATGGACGACCAAGGTTCCAGTAAGATCAACCACAACCACAGTGGCACCGTGGCTAACAACAACAACAATGGCTATAGCGATGATGTGTGTTGCCTGAAGAAACGAGATCTGAGAAGGTGAGTCCAAAAGCATCCTTCACTCACTGCTTCTATATGTGAAGCAACCAGAACTGCTCCTTTCAGCTTCCGCTTTATGAGTGCCATCATGAACCCTGCATCGGTTTCCATTGCGAACAGCCGAGTCTTGCCAGAGCTTTTGCAGTTCACCTCGACGTACTGCGGAGGAGGAGGAGCTTGGGGCGATAGCGATGATGATGATTCTTCAGCCATCGAAATTCAACGATGACATTGTAACTGGTTTTTTATGGAATTTGTGTGGAGAGAGAGAAGATAACGATCCCATTTTCAATTTCACCGATGATTTTGTATATATATATTCTTTTCTCATTTTCAAGTTTTCTATAAATATGTAGATAATTCAAAAAATAATTGAAAATTATAAATATATGCATAATATATGTTATTATATTTTAATATTTATTATGATTACTGAATATATGTTTTATTTTAATATATTTTAATATTACTGAATATATATTTTAATATTATATGATTACTGAATATGTAGATAATGAGTTATATATTGGTGTGTTTTGATTTTATATATGTTGAATATATATATATATATATTTATATTTATATTTATACTTAGTAAACTCTTAGTAAGTATATTTTGAATACATATATATATATATATTTATATTTAGTAGACTCTTACGTTTCGTTTACGTTTCACGATTTTACGTTTTTGCTCACCCCTACCGTTTCTAGGTAGAAACTACGTTTTAACGACACTGGTTGGCGTGTCTCAGCCCGCTTCCAGTCGATTTCTACATAGATCTCTCTCCTCCGACAAGATTCTGACTACACAGCCTTGATTCATCACCCACACAGTGGCCGTTAGGCTCTTTATACCTCCAAGATTTGTGATTCCGCCATGATTCTGACAGTTCAACATCCTATTCTAGTTACAAAATGATACTCCATCCTAACTGTATAAATTGGGCAAAAACTCACACCGAATCACTATTCATGTGATTCTAACTACCATGATATTCACTAATTAAGCTTAAACTTTTAACGTACATATGCCATAAGGAGGATCATTTCAAGCAGAGAGTACAGCTTATGGATTTTGATGGGAATCAAGTCAAAAGAAACGGGCAGTTAACAAAGGTTGTGGGAAATGTTAGTGGGGGGTATTTTTATTTTATTTTTAACTGCAGTAGTGTGCAGTTATGGAAAGATATGGTAGTGTAGGATTGTCTTTATAGGGCTAGGCTGTAAGTTAGGAAGATAGGTTGGTTTTATGTAATTTTCTGGGCTGCTTATGCAGAGAACTTGGAGAAGGATCTTTAAGTTGGGGGCAATTCTTGCTCATTGTCTTTCCTTGCATTGTATATTTTCCTTTTACATTAATAAAATACCTCTTTCCAGTAAGATAGGAGAAGAGAATCCTATCAATTGGTGCTTTCGTTGAAAGTTGATTGTAGAAGAGAGCCTTTAATTTATGGTAACGAGAATGGCTAATCAGCGGATTGATGTGTTGGGAGTCAAAAATGGCGACAGTGGAGGTGTCTCTCAAGTCGCAGGAGATGGTATTGAAGAATCATGACGCTGCCATGAAAAACCACGGCCTGCAACTCGAAGAACATTCGGGTAAGTTGGCTTCCATCATTTCTAGCTTAGGGGAACTCACCAAATCAGTGGCGTCCCTTCACATGGAGGTCTGCGAGGGATTCAAGCACCACCAAGGGACATCAGGTCCTGCACATTCTGGGTCAAGAACAGATGTTGGGTCCAGTAACCGTCACAAAACAGGGCATGAAAAAGAAGCTGAGAGGGAATGCACTCCTCCTTTTGAAGACTATCGCATAACAGCAAAGAAGGTGGAGTTTCCAACCTTAATAGGTGCTGATCCAGTGGGATGGGTGGCTAGAGCAGAGGCTTATTTTTCTGTGAAGGGAATTCCCCCTGAGATGCGGCTGCAATTCGCTCAAATTAGCATGGAAGGAACACCATGGCACTGGTTTAAGGTGATAAAAGAGTCTGACCCTCTTAGACTGGGAGAAATTTAAGCATGCCTTATTCGATAGGTATGGAGAGACACATTTTGGAAACCCATTTTCACAACTCAAGGTGCTGACCCAAACAGGAACGGTGGACGACTACGTCGAAGAATTTGAGATGTTAGCCGCTCAAATTTCCCCAATGCCTGACCAACAATACATGGGCATATTCCTTGGAGGATTGAAGGAAGAGATTCAATTGGAAGTAATGATGCTTAATCCCCCAAATAGATACAAGATGATTGCTTTAGCTAGAGTTGCAGAAAGGAAATTTGGCTTGATGGGTACATCTAAATCATCAATTGGAACTACGGAGCACTCAACATTTTGAAAGATATACCCCATGGCTGTTTCAAACCAAGGGGGATCCAAAATCATAGAAGGAGTGAGTCAAAATTACAATTTTAAGCCAGCAGCATCGCAACAGGCCTCTAGTAGTTTCCCTAAGACCGAGAGCCAATCAGTAGGGAGCTCCAATAAAGGAGTGCGTAATCTGACTTATCAAGAATTAATGGAGAGAAGAGCAAAAGGGTTGTTTTTCAAATGCGGCCAGAAATTCTCCCCAACTCCTCAATGCCCAGATAGACAATTACGGTTACTGATATGGGAAGATGACGATTCAGTAGGCAAGGCTGATTCACTGTTGGCAAAGGAAGAGGATGAGATGCCCAGGTTCTGCCTTGAGAACAAGGCAAATTTTCAGGAGAGTATTGATGGGAATCAAGTCAGAAGAAACAGGGGCAGTTAACAGAGGTTGTGGGAAATGTTAGTGAGGGGTAGTTTTTTTTTTTTTTTAACTGTAGTAGTGGGCAGTTATTGAAAGATATAGTAGTGTAGGATTGTTTTTATAGGGCTAGGCTGTAAGTTAGGAAGATAGGTTGGTTTTATGTAATTTTCTGGCTTGCTTATGCAGAGAACTTGGAGAAGGGTCTTCAAGTTGGGGGCAATTCTTGCTCATTATCTTTCTTTGCATTGTATATTTTCCTTTTACATTAATAAAATACCTCTTTCCAGTAAGATAGGAGAACAGAATCCTATCAGATTTTACAGCCATCAATAGCTTCCTAAAGTATTCATTCTTCAGTAAAGCAACCACTAAACAGAAAGCTTGTAAAATATCTTGCACCCAGAATATAAGTGCTCATTTGCAATGAGATATAAAAAAAGTAATACATCTTCATCAACATTAAATTATTTATGAAAATTTTGGAAATGATAAGACAAACCTACCTAATCTGATCGACTTGCATACATAATATATAATTCAAATTCACTTGTAAAAACAGACATATATATGATATAGCCTTGAAATATGCATCTTAGCAACAATAGTTATTTTTTATACCCGAGGACGGATTAATTCTCCGATATATTCAATCACAACGTCATCTGCCTCTATTGGCTCCAAGGCAACAAGACCCCAGTCATGTATCTTGCTCCTTTGAAAACGTAAACGCTTTTTCCTAGCCTGAAAAATGCAAAACAAAAAGTTCAAATCTGATGTATCCAGATGCTCTAGATAAGAATCACCAAAAACACATCCATTCTTCAATCACCTTTAATTGAGGCCCTTTCAGAAGATCCGCACACTCAGTAGCAGCAAGAAGATTACGCCATTTCACCCTATTTGTTCTGGCAGAAAGACCCTTTCCATTTGACAACTGAGATAAATTATTTTCAGAATCTATACACTTGTTTGGTAGACATGGAAGACCCCTGACACGTGCTCTGTATGCAGGACTGGCACTTCGAGACCATTTATGCCATTCCCACCCATCAATAGAAGTCCTAGCACATCCGTCAGATCTAGGACATAAATTCAATGGCTTGGACTTAGCAGAATTCCTCCTTGCCTTAGAAACGTGTTTGCTAGCTCCCAGCTTCGCACCATCATTTGAAATTTTCAAAACCTTCCCAGGACGGGATGATGCCATACCATCCATTAGATGCTTCCTTTTTGATTTTGACACTTTATTTGTTGCTGCAAACAGGAACAGGATGAAAAAAATATAAATCCAGTCTGAAAACTATATTATAAAGACATTTTCAACAATCAGACAAGTTTCAACACGAAATGAGAAGCTGAGAAACATAAAAGAATCCAGTAAGAATATGCCATAAACCTACCATTTAGTATCTCTCTGGAGCAATGACCAGTGGTCTTCCCTTGAATGGAGCCATCACAGCCACTTCTAACCACCTTCTTCATGCCAACACCCTTAGATTTTACAACATCCATAACATCATCTGAATAACGAAAAATGGACAGCAGTTATTCTTCCACAAATTTATAATTATAAAACCAGTGTCAACAAATTAACAAGGAAAATTATATACTTTGAACTTTATGTGAGAACTTCAAAACTTTCCGATTAGTTTTATTCTTCAAGGATAATTGATCACTATGCAACCTACTGTTGACATTGACAGGAGACGACCTGCCCTTAGAAGATGTATCCTTCCCTTTAATCACCCTAGTCTTTCCACGATTAACAGCAGCTTTTTTAATTTCTGCAGTCTCACCCACATCTCCAGAAACAAGTTTCCTTAACTTAGCCACAGGCTGCTTCCCTGGCCCAGAATCATCTGCTACAGATTGTGATGAACACAACTCCTTCCGTGATAGCTTCTTGCGGTAATATGTATACTTTCCAACCACCAGAGGAACACCAGAAGAACTTTTTGCTCCTTCCTTCACTCTTCCCAGTCCAGAAGTAGCATCATTCAAATGTTCCTTGCTTACACTGAATACTTTCCCTTTCTGAAGGATTACAAAAATAAATATAAATAAATTAACAGAGACACAACAATAAGATAAAATAAAACAAAATAACAAAGACAGACACTCAGAAAACAAGGTGAAATGCAGTATTTGGGTTCTCATAAAAATTTAAAAAAAAAAAAATTCTTACCTCGTGACCATCAGACTGAAAATGTTTCTTTATGGTACATGATGATATACCGCTTTGATTGAGTGCAGAATCAAGAAACAACGACTTCCACTCTTCTAGAACTTCATCATGCAGCTTCTGCCGGCACAGTGCAGTTGCAACATATTCTGGAATCTTAGGATTACATTCAACTAACCTTGAAGGTCGAAATTTAGAATTGTGGTGGAGGGAGATTGTTCGAGATTTCTCTTCAAATCCAGGTGGTAGATCACAAATCTCCTCTTCATTAACCACATTACCTATGTATCCATACAACTCCTTAAATGCTTTTGAGAATACATTAAACATTTGGTTTCCAGATGAAGACTCAAAAAATGAATCCCCAGCTTTTACAGGATCCACAGAATTGTCATTCAGAATTTCCTTCACAGATGTTTTACCAGTAATTATCTCTGAAAAACCGCAGTCACTTACAGCAACCTGCAAGAATTAAAGGATTCTTCAACCCAATAGTATATAGACAGATAAAAGAAAATGAACACTTCTAATCAAGTTACCTCACGCAATTCGCATTTTCCTGGCAAATGAATTAATTTGTTCACTTCCTCTTCAACAAAGCTTCGAACGTATTCAGCTAAAGACAACTTTGAAGAGGAATGAAGCTCATTCTCCACATTTTCAAGAATGCATGTCAAATCTTTAGAGTTATAATAAGTGCATGAAACTCTTTGACCTTCAAGTACGTTTCCACCTTTGAGGCTACTAGGAGATGAGGACAATAGAGGATGATAATCTCTTTCCATTGAAAGCGCTCTGAACCGATTATTGCCATCAGCATTGCATTCAGAGGAACCTGGCCTGAGAACCAACTGTACAACAATTGTATGATTATTACAGGTAAAATAAAGGAAAAACATCAACTAAGCAAGCTACTCAGTACTCACAGCTTCAGATTCAATCTTTTCAACATAATAATCTCCACATCCATTAGCAGATGGTTCATGTTTAGGGCAAGACCAAAGTTTGCTCTTTCTCCAGGAAATTAAGTATTCTGCTAGTGTGTCAAAAAACACAGAATTCCACATGACTTGCATGCAATAATCAAAAAGTACTTTCCGAACAACAGCGTATGACCACCAAAAATTTTCAACACTTCCAACAGATTTATTGCTTGTTGAAGACGATCTGGAAATCTCAAGACATGCCTGATCATCCAAAATATGGGAAGATGCAGGCTTACTTGGAATGGCAGTACCTTTACTTATCTCCACAGCAAACTTAGACTGTTAAAGCAAATATTCAATAACTTATTAAGCTGTATACAATTTCAACAATACTAATAGCAAAGCAATTGAACATTACCATTTTGCTGTCCAATATGCAAGTCTCAGACACCTGATCAGCTGATTCAAGCTTATGCCTCTTATGTTTCTTTTCAGTAACAAATTCCGCAATGATATCACCAATAATCCCATCCAGCACAACTCTGCGGGCAGCTTTCATGACACCCAAGTGCAGTTGGGAAGAAATGTTTTCAGATATTTCACAAATTAAGTCAACCATACAACCAACCTCATTGCTTTTGGAACCTGATCCATAGACGGTTCTTGATATATCTCCTTTCAATGCATTTACAGCAGACAGTAGCACAAAGGTGCCATGCTTCTTGTCAGAATGAGAGATCTGTAAATTAACATAAATCAGTCAATAGAGTGATGTCAGAGTAACATTACTTTATCTAGACAAAGCAGGGGAAAAACCAGGCATTAAAGTAATGTTCCAACAATTTTGTTTTTATTTTAATTTTTCCACAGACAAACAAGATGACAGAACTAATGTCCATAGAACAAAGCGAGAAACAGAACCACTGTAAGAAGAAAGGATAACCAGGTGATTATATTCAAGCATCCATGAAAACTAATCAACACATTTAGACACCTCCAAAAACCTTGCATTAAAAGAAAATTTAATGCTAGTACAGTTAAAAGCAGAAATTACAAGGACTAGAATTTTGCATTAAAGCTCCATAAATAAACTTGGGAAAAAAATCGAGGTGCGAGATGTATTTTAGGAAAAGGCAACCGACGATAAAATCATAAATAGGGGGGGGGAATGAAGGAAGTATAACAATACAAATGGTTGGAAATTAACAAAAAAAAAAAATTAACAGATAAAAATCAGGTTAGCAGTTCTCTGAAGTTTCAAGATTCAAGAATCAGTGGCTTGGGAATTTAGATTGTCAATGGAGACCCAAATGAGAATTTGCAAGCAAATGTCCAAACCAGATGAGCTTGGCTCACAAGACCATTGCCCGCATCATCTTTGATGACAATAAATACCATCCACTCCCATAAGACACTTAATCAACCCAGCAATGCAAAGCCAAAGCACCTAAGGGCATGTTTGGTGCATAGTATAGGATAAGGCCTGATAGTATAAGACCTGATAGTATAAGGCCTGATTGAATTTTAATACTATCAAGCGTTTGGCACGGTATTGTATAAAATAATATATTGTATAAGATAATATCATCTAGTATTTGGTAATGCACTGTATAATACTATATATGATAAAAATAAATATTTTTAATAAAAATATCTTTTAATAAAGAATTTATATAATTCTTCAATAAATGTCATATGATATTAATTTTTATAAAAATTTATTGATCAGTGTGTCCAAAATATAAATTAATTTTTATAAAAATAAAAATATTCAATATTTTAAAAATTAATATATTGAAAATTAAATTTTTATTTTAATAGATTAATATTAAAATAATATATTAATTTTTGAGAATTACATTGGTCAACGATGTTAATACATCAATCTCTTATCAGGTCTTATCCTTCACCCTTAGGCCGGATTAAGTTATACATCGTTTTGATGTATTAAGGGATTATGCTGTATAAGCTTATACTATACTGTGGTCACACCAAACAACTAAAAATGTCATAACGTATAGTATAAGCTTATACTATCATGCCTTACACGTCACACCAAACTGGCCCTAAATGCAAAGTGGCTTTATCATCACTACAACTATTATTTGCTGCAACTAGACACACTTTCATGAGCACCATAAATCTCCACCACTACCCTGGCCATTACTACCAACCGGTTTCTTCTTTTCTTTTTACCCTCCTGCTTTTGATCAATATATTATTAGCATAAAACAAAAATTCAAAGAATCCTAGAACAATGTAAAGATTCAAAAAGAAATATAGTTGCAGGATACTTATACAATCTTGATACAGAAATACAAAATACACAACATAGTGCAATTTAAAGATTATCTCTAAGCTCACAGAAACGGGCTGCTGAAAGAGGCTTAGTAAAGGTGTCGGCAATCTGATCACAAACTGGGACACACAACTGGATACTTAAAAAATATGCAGGTTTCACTTGAGTCCTTAAAAATTTTAAATTTTCAATTAAATCCAGATTTAGGAATAGTCAACTAAATTTAATGGAGAGTGCTGACTTTGGAACAAACATGCTTATGTGGAAATGGAATGATTGTTGATTATGTCAACAATTTGCCAATTGCCACATCAGTATATTTCTACATGAGTTGGCAATTTCCATTAGATCTGTGATAGCTTATATCTGCAATTGAACCTACTAGATAATTTTCAAATACCCAATTGATAAGTGGGCCAAATTCCAGGTATCAAAATTGTAATTTAGCTGTAAAAGAATAGATCAAAAGTTAATACCAATCTCTTTGCCAGCTTCTTGAAAACTAACAAGTAATAATAAGAACAAAAATAAAACAAATTCTGATGCAACAATGGGATAATCATAAACCCCATTACGAAAATTCATCAACTCATCATTTCCTGCACCAAATCTGCAGCTTGCATAATATTTCACTGGATCAATATTGGCATCTTACCACTGTTGAATCTTCAAGATATCCATGACGGTGCCAGGAAATCAATTCTGAAATAGAATGGGGCCCATGTTTCATACCCTTATTATCCTCATAAAGCCAACAGCATTCTTCGACTAACTGAAATAAGAAATAAGACACAACCGTCAAAAAGACAAACTGGAATGTCAAACTGACTTATATATAACATAGCATAGAGCATATATTGCACTACCATCGGACAAGATATTATGCTGTTGAATGCTGCTGAGTTTGAATTTAAGTGATTGGAGTCGTTAATGCAGTAATTGACAAGTGACTGTGAAACAGACTGTGAATCAGGGTTAACAGCTAAAGAAGCAGCATGCTCAAAAGATCGATCTTGCCCATAAACTGCCATGTCCTTACAAGAAGAAGAGGAGGAGCAACTTATAGGCATCCTTGTGTCTGCAATACCCATACTCAGATATGCAAACCCAGTGGATACATGGTCAGGAAACTGCTTGAAATAATTCAATGGCACAGGGTTCATTATTGTGCCATTAACGATAGGATACACAGGAAGCTCAAATGGCAAGAAACCAGAAGTAAGACCCTCATATAACTGCTCCTTAATATAGGGACCACACATTTGCCCATGTTCATTCACATACATCCATCCACTCACAAAAGTGGATGGTTGCACATAGCCACAGAAACTCTGGTCCAGGTGTGAAATATTCCCCGAGGTAGAACACACAGGAACCTCACCACTATTAACATTTGATGGGCAGCTCATCTCCATTCCAGAATCTGGATCAACTTTATCATCAATATTGCAGCAAGAGGGAATATCACCAGTACTCCTATACAAGGGGAAGCATTCAAGGATGTAAGAGATATTAATATGAAAAGGAAAGAAAGAGAGGGGGGGGGGGGTAATGTTTATTCACAGGTTAATATCCCAAGTTTAAAACTGGCTTTAATTCAGTTGCAGTTTTGTTATCATATGTGTATGTTAATATCATTCACATTTGATTTAATTCCATCCAACTGTCAGCATCACTCTGTCTATCATTTTTTATACTAAAAGAAATTTTATTAGAAGGATTGCACTCACCCCCACCTTCACTAGTCGGGGTTTAATGGGGAGTAGTTCAAGAAATTTTATTATAAGAGAAGGTATACAAGCAATGAGGAGTATAAAATATCCTACTTAAGCAAAGGATACAAAAAGAAGAAAAAGTATCTCCAAAATACCAAAGAGCTTTCCGATCTCTCCACATATTTTCCAAGTAGACTTAAAGAAGTCATGCACAAAGAACCCAAGAGAGGCCATAAGCACGATTCAATTCCATAATGATCTAGGACTTTCTCCTTAAAAATTCACACATTGTCTAAACCCCTCTAACTAATCAAAAGAAGTTGCTCGAAAATTAAAGGAAATACACTAGAATCAACAAAGAAACCACCACATTAAAAAGTCCAATTAAGGTTATCCACCATAAAGATTCTAGAAAAATAGGAGTTAGGTGAAGTGTTGAAAAGTGAAAACCAATAAGCAATAAAAACTTTCCATGGGGATCGAAAACAAGAAAGACAACAAAGGCTAAGGCATCTGAAAAGGGAATTCTCTCCCTATCTGATAATTTCCCAAAATTCTACCCCAAGATCCATTATCACATTCAGATGAAGGAAGCACAGGCCTAGAATAACAATTCCATGAGAAATAAATTGATGGGGCTTGAGTGAGTTACAGCAGTAGCAATCATAATCATTAATTATTTTTGCTAACATGGAATATGTGTGTGATTCTGAAACATGTTGTCAAAACTAACAAATCACAAAGGAAACAGAAGAATCCTATGTTAGAAATTGACGTCAAAATCAGAGGACTAATTGGAATAAACAGAATAAAAGATACAGACCAATTGAATCTTGATGTAAACATGATAATGATAAAATTTAACAAGTTATCAATGATAACAGATTTTATTAATATGTTCCACCAGATAAAGTTGTCAACCAGACAGAAAGACCAAGTCAGCATCTCATGAATGCCCAAAAAATAAGACCTTTCTACATTTTGCTGCGTGAACAAGGAAATATCACCGCAAATTCCTGCATCTGCATGTAAATCAATATCTTGATGTCCAAGATCTGACACTCTCAACTTTTTTCTAGAAAACAAGGGGCCATCTTCATAGAGAAAGGCAGTTGAGAAGACCATGAACCTTTCCCAACAGAAAAGAAACTCCAACAACTGGGACAAGAAAAAAAGAAGCAACCAAATTAAAAATACACAAAGTAATGTGGAAATTCAAAACTGGCACATATTAAAAGAACTAAATTAATAAAAACTGGATACAAACCATATGATACCGTTATCAACTTAAGATGCAACAGAACTATAAAGTTGCAATTTAGCAAAATTTCCTCAGTTTGGTTTCCAATATGTTATAGCTTACATTCAGGATAAGAGTTCACTATGTAACTCAAGATTAAAAGCGGGAAGTAGTTGTAAAGAACCATCCAACCAGAACATAAAGAGAAAATATCAAATGAATTATTTCAAACTTTATTAGAAACATGCTTTAGAAACGATATAACATAATATTCTACCTTATACTTCCATTACTTAATAAGTCTAGAAAATTCTAATATCCTTTTGCGAGTCTGACTAAAAAATGAGCAGGTTATCACAAGCTTTCAGATTGCCTTGATGGCACAGTTGAGGCAATGGATCTAAGATACTCCTTTTATTCTTCAAGGTTGCTCTGGTTGAAATGTTGCAGAATGGATGCACTTCATTAGCAACACATGTATTCATTAAATTTCCTAGCTCATCGGTAACTCTATCAATGAAATATAAGTTTGCAATTGGCCTGCTTGATGTTATAATGGAATTGAGAGCAGCAATCAAATACACAAATATACCCTTGGAATATGAACACAAAACCTACTAACAGTAATTATATGCTGTATAACTTTAATTTCATAACAATTGACATTGTAGACAATAATAAGAAAAGAGATCTGACAAATATCACCACATATCAGAGAAACAAATAAACTATGGCCAAGTAAGTGCATGATGCATGCATAAGTCCTTGTGCCAACCAAAACAGATACATGGACACAATTATATCAAATTAACTAAAATAGAATGAGAGATAAATAGCTGTAACAGACAATGAGCTTGGAGCAAAATGATAGATCCAAGGAGAATGGATAAATAGTCAAGCTTCGGGAGGTTGAATTACAATTGGCCTCATTTAACGGAACAAAGACAACTTTGCTCTAAGGTATATCCATAACAAACATGATATCTATTCATTAAGAAAAATAGAGTCAGGGATTCAAGTCAAATAAAAGGGATACATGAAATTGGGATAACACAGTTAGGTTGCTGCACATGTGGGGTAGGCAAATAACAATTGGCCTAAATTTGACGAAAGAAAGAGCATAGAGCCTTACAGTGTATGGTTAATAAATGATATTAATGCATCGGTAGCAATATTATTAACTTTTTTTCTTTCTTTTTTGTGCCTCTTTTGGAATGTATTCATAATGCATAACTGACACTTAAAATATTAATAGCTACTACCGAAACACAGAAACAAACACGCAAAATCCTCGTGGAAAATGAATGAGATTATAATCTACCTATTCACCTAAAACTTATGGACACCACCATTTTTTTTTTACTTACAACAATTCCAAAATCTCCAATCTTCTGTATACTATATACTTATAATCTACCGCTCGGAATCTCATTAGCAGAATCTGCATTGTTCTATAAAAAATAAAAATAAAAAATAATGTTATCCTGGTGGACTTTAAATCCATTCTTTTTAATTTTTCTTGTTCTACTTTCCACAACTTTCACCGAGAAACCCTAATCTAATGACTCTTCATCTTGGGAATCCCATCATCAACACTATAAAACCCCTTAACCATATCTCTCATCTTTACCGCATGATTTGGTTCGATGAAGCCATTGTCATCTGCCTAAACCTTTCTTTGTTACAGAAACAAAAACACGCAAGTGAGTGAAATTAATTAAATAAATGAAAATAGAGAGCAAAAAGCGGGTTTCACAAGAATCGAGAGTGAAACCTCTTGATCGCGCAATCTCGTGGGTTATGTTGTGGTTTGATCTGATGATTGTAGGGTTAATCTGCTTCGTTCGCACGCAAAAGAGGGAATTTCGTATGTATTGGGAGAGACGAAAGCAAAACCAGATTAGGTCTCAAGATTTTGCTTCCTCCGCCAGTAACATAGTTTGCCCTCATCACACTGCCTTTTATTTCTTTTTCTTTTTTTTTTCTTTTTTGGTAGATTTCTTTTCTCTTTAAGTAAAGCCCTTTTGGCCCAGGTAAAAAAAGACGGTCGTCACTTTTGTCTTTTAGAAAAAAAAAAAATATTTATATTAATTCATTTTTAGTGATTAAATTGGATCTTTATTGAATGAGAAACAATATTTCCAAAGAACCTGAATTGTATAGGGACAAAAGTAGACTTTTTTTTTTTAAGGTACGAAACCTTATTTTTTATTAGGGATACAAAAGTAACTTTATTCTTTCTTTTTTATTTTGACCAAGTCTTAAATATACGATACGTAGTATTTATTAGAGACGGTAATATGTTCGTGACGGGTTAATTAGTCAAAATGGGGCAGAGTGGGTTACACATCTCAACTTATCAATCCGTCTTAACCCACCATATCGGGTTGCGGGTTAAAATGGGTTTGTGGCAGGTCCCCCAGCGGGTTGGCTCGTTGGTTTTTTTTTTACTATTAGATAATATTTTATTTGCCATTAAACTTTTGTGATATTCAATTTTCTTTATCTTAGTACTTCCCTAGAAAAATAAAGTAAAAAAAAAAAAAACTTTATTTATGATAAAGGTTATCTATATATAGAGACAAAAATAAGTTCCTAAAAACATCTAACTAAATATTAGCATATATTTGGGCTTGAGATTAAAAAAAATTGAGGGGGTGAAATGAAAATAAATAATATCATAAAATTAATAAAATATAATTTATTTTTAAATTTTAATTATTTTTTATTTTTTATACGGGTTGACCCGCCAACCCACCATAAAATAGGGTGGGTTGGGCTTTTTAACCCATATTCAAGAGGCGGGTCGAGGCGCGACAACCCGTTTTTGGTGGGTTGGCGGCGTGCCGAGATGGCCGACCCGTTTTGCCACCTCTAATTATATTACATTATAATCATATTATTATTATTATTATAAAAGAAATTATTAACTCAATAAATGAACACTAAAATTAAATAAAAAAGCATAAATAAAAAGAATAAGAAATATAATAATAATAATTAAAGTTGAATTTGTTTTAAAAGTGATCGCAATAAAGAAGAGAAAAGTTATACTTATTGTTATGGATATATACGTCATATCCTAACTACTCACCTAAGAATCCACTAAGGGATAAATACATAATTATCTCAACAATATTGAGCAATTAAGCACTCAAGATAAGGACCTCATCCCAACAGAAAGAGAGCTGAATCCTAACGCAATCTGGGAGATATAAAAAGTCTCAAGCCTAGGAAGGTAATCCTTATAAATAAGAGCCTAAAGACCCTAGGTACACACTTTTTAACCTATTTACTATAACTGCCAACA